TGTGTGTGTGTGTGTGTGTGTGTGTGTGTGTGTGTGTGTGTGTGTGTTTTTATCAAGCTGTGAACACTCTGCTCCTTGGAGTGATAAGCTTTAAACCGACCAGGAGACTGTCAGTCTCAGTTTGAGGGTTTAGAAATATTGGGACGAATAATTAGATTTCATATCGTTACTGCAGCAGCCATCGAAGGATCAGCCAGATTAATTTTTTTTTTACCCTCCTCCACTCATTAATATTCATTAGAGACATATGAAGACAGAGATGGGCTCCGGCCAGGCACAAACAGGAGCTGCTGAGCCTCAGATGCTGTGGGCTCCCAGGACAAGGCTTTTCCCAAATAGAGGAGCAGGTTTCCTTCTCCACACCTCTCCCCCAACACACCCCGCTCCTCTGCCCTGAGCTGACCTGGATGTGGAGACAATAGCGTGAGGGGAGCCTGCCTGGTCAGCCCCTCAGAAGCACGTGACTGTAGGGCTTCTCAGGGAGGGGAGATGATCCCCTGCTCTCTGTCACTGTTTGCAATGACTGTACATGCTTTTGTAGAAAGCTTAGGGCTGGAAAAGACCAGTGAGGTCATTTAGGTCGCCCCTCTGCCTCTAGGCAGAGCCCTACTCCAACCCTCCTAGATAAATTAGACTTCGCTGCATTCTTCTCATGAGGTGGCTCTCCGTGAGGACTTGGTGAGATGTCACTCCATCAGTCAGTGGGGAGGAAACCAGAAAATATCAATGAGGGACAAATAACCCAGATGGTAAAACTGAAGCACAGTTGCTCTCAGTGACTGGCTTCTCAACCAGCTTCACCGTCAGGAGCGTGAAATGGCATGGAACCTGGCTGGGCTTGCTGGCTCACAGACGCAGCGACCTCTCACCTGGGCAGAGAATGGAGACCCGTGACATCCAGCTCTGGGTGTGCTAGTCATCTGTCTCATCTGTTACACTTTTCCAGAGCCATTATGTCTTTTGGTTCTCACCCTGTGAATTTGGGATTCTGAGCCCAATTTAAGAGGTGAGGAAACAGACCCAGCATGGTTCAATGACTGACCCAAGTTCACCCAACCAGGAAATGGCGATGCTGGTCCCAGAAGGCAGGCATGTTAACCGCCATGGGCATCTGTTCTCCTCCCAGGTGAGAGGTTATTGTCATGGTGACCCAGACGAGGTTTTAGGACCTGGGTCAGGGGACTTGAGCCACTTCAGATGCCTCAGGTGAGCCACAAGGTGAAGTTGCCATATGCACTATCTGGCTGGACAGTTGCTTTCCCAGCTCTATAGGACACACACACACACACACACACCCCCCCACACACACACACACCCCCACCCCCATGTGCTGATACAGATGTTGTCCAGCCAGATTGGGCTGTTCAGTGAAGGGTGTGGTATTTGCTCAAAGCCACGAGTTGGGCAAAGGAGTTCTGTCCACCTTGGGTGCCCCTTGGTGTCTCCTACAGCTCTTAGCCCTTGTCAGGAATCAGGTTCAAACTGCCTAGTTTGAAAGTGCTGTGAGAACCCTGCCAAGAGCCCCAGGCTTGAAAACTCAATTGCCATCATCTGGTCCCTGCTGGCCTGGACTCCATCCTTCCTTTCTCTTCCCTTAAACTGACACAGCTTTTCATGGCTTTATGGGAAGCCAGGAGACCCAAGTTCCATTTCACTCTGGCCCCATACCTTACTTTTGGTATCTCTTCTCTATGCCTCGGTTTCCTCCTCAGTAAAACGAGCTATATGCTAGGGTCCTAATACTGCATGTCTAGAGCTGAGAAAAGACCCAAGAAGCCATCTAGATGAGGAAATTGAGGCTCATGGAGGTTAAATGGGGTTAAGCCCAAGAGTAAGGTCTCTCTCAGGTCTGACATTCCACGCTCTAAGGTCCCAGCTGGCCATACCATTCTCTGTTCTAAGATCCTTTCCAGCTCCTATCTAGTCTAAGGTTCCTGCCAGCTCCAATGTTCTCTGTTCTAAAGGCCCTCTGAGCTTTGACATTCTGTGTTCTAAGGCACTCTCCAAAGTCTGAATAGTCCTTTTGAACTCAAACATTCTCTGGCTCTTGGTCCCATACCAAAGCCTCCTGCTCAGTGTAGGGATGAGTCACATGCCTGCCCCTCTCCCAGCCCCTATTTCTCCGCTATTCCCCAGCCTTCTCCCTGGCACCCGGCTGAGGTTAGGGGTTAGGTGACTGATGTTTCCTCTACTACCGGTGCTTGGAGGACAGCTAGACCCCATGGGTCATGCCAGAGGAAATAACAAGTCCATTGCCTGCGTTTCTCTGGTTCACGATAAGCTGCCCATCTTTCATGGAGGATGAGCAGCCAACAGCCTGGGGTGGGGCAGGGGAGTCAGACAAGGGTTTGGTTGGAGAGGAGTGGTACAAGTGATCTTTTCCCTTCAAAACTGATGGGTGTGCCCCATACGGCTTGTAGAAGGGGGTTTAAGGGCAGTGTGCTAAGAAAAAAAAATGAAGCTGGGAATGAGGAGATTTACATTCTGATCCTTGTTCTTCCAAACAGCGTGTGATTTGGGGCGGGTTCCTCAGTCAAGGGGCCTCAACCTCGGACTGCCGGGGGCTCTTGGGAATAAAGAGGAATTGTCGAGGCTCGTGACACAGCCTTCTCACTGCCAAGACCTTGCGTCTATGTCATGCTCAAGACCTCCAGTTTTTTGAGGAGTCAAAGCCCCTCAAGCCCTCACACCTCAAGCCCCAAGGCTTTCCCTAGGGATATATATAGCATACAGAAAGGCAGACAGAAACATGGGGGATGGGGACATGAGCAAGGGAACCAGTGGCCTCAGACCCCAAGAGCTGTGCCACAAGGAGGATCCATCACCAGCTTGTGCCTCCTGTTCTAACACTGAACAGCGCATTTACGGTAATAGGACCAATCTAAGCAGCCAAGAAATCTAGGCTATCTCAGCTTTTATAAGCTGCCTTTAGGCAGCCTTGGAGTGAGAGGCAGGCTGCAGCCTTCATTAGAACCATTAGCAGCAACCCGCTGCCTGCCTGCCCCACAAATCAACAGGGATGCTCTTGTGGTAACACTTCTCTCTTCTGGGCTCTGCTTTCTTCACCTGTAAAATGGGATCAATAATCCCTGCCTTGCCTGTCTAAATAAATGTTTGTTTAATTGAATTGAATGCAGGTCAGAGACTTTTGGAAAAAAAAAAGTCTAACATATGGTAGAAGTAAAAAGAAAAAAAATTTTAAGAGTCATTGTCTATAAAATACCTGACCAACAGAGAGGGTACCACCCTCATCTCCATCCCTCAGGCTCACCAAGACATGAGTCTCATTTTCTACTCCTTACCATCTCTCACCCCACCCACCTTATCCAAGCTATCGATTTCACCTTTGCCACATCTCTTAAATATACCTCCTCCTTTCCTCTGACACTGCCACCCCCAATGCAGGTGCTCATCACCTCGCATTTGGATTACTACAACAGCTGCTGCTGGGTCTGCCTGCCTACGGGGGTGGAGAAGACTGAAGCTTAGGCCAACTTCTAGAACGTTCCCAAACCAAACCAAGCCCACCCTAGACTCACCACCTCCATCTTATCCAAAGAGGGATGACTGAAGGACGTATTCATGGTGCCAAAATTAATAACAATAATAATAATAACTAGCGCTTATGAAGCACCTACTATGTGCTAAGCACTTTACAAAAAGGATCTCATTTAATCCTCAGAACAACTCTGGGAGGTAGGTGCTATTATTACTCCCATTTTACAGATGAGGAAACTGAGGCAGACAAGTTACGTGGGTCTGAAGCTGGATTTGAACTCAAGTCTTGCCTTCAATCCCGCAGTCTATGCTGCAAAGGATCTCCAGTTGGAAGACCTTTTATTCAAATATTAGCTCTGCTTCTCACCTCTCTGACCCAAGACAAAGCACCTCTACTCTCTGGGCCTCAGTTTCCTGTTCTATACGATTCAAGATTAGTATAGACTTTTTTCGTGTCCTGGATGGATCCCTTTGGTAGTCTGGAAAAGCCTACAGATGTCTTCTGAGAATTGTTTTAATGCCTACATTCATAATCAAAGGAAAAGCTAAATTGTAGTTGGACATCAGTAAAAATACAGATGTGATTTTTTTTTTCCCATTCAAGTTCACAGACACCCTCCTCACCCCTGCCAAAATCTCTCTAGTCCGTGTACCCCAGGATAAGAACCTCATGTCTACCTGATAAGGAATGACCCTGAGGCCAGCCTAGCCAGTCTGCTTTAGAGCTCTCCGTAGTATCAGTCTTGAGAAGTCCCTCCCCCAGACCCTTGCCACCACCCAACACCCAGCCCCCAACCCCGACTGTCCAAGCTATGCTCAGAGTGGGTTAAAGGGCCCGGCCAATGCATCCCGTTTCATCCTGTGATTGCTTTGTCCCCAGCTCTGTCTGAAGGATGTGCCGGTGACATCACTGACCCATGCCCTCTTTCTCATGTTTCTGCCCCTGACAGAGCCCACCCATGACCCTGCTGGTGGGAGAGGAGTGCTGCTGGCTGACGAAGCTCCCCCTGGTCTCCAGTGAAACAGATGCCAACTCGGTGATCTTCAGAAAGGGTTGGTATTGCATGCAGTCCTTGGGGGATGGAAGGGGTCCTGACTGCTCTGTGGGGCTGCCCCTTAACAGAACAGCACCACGAGCCCCCGTCCCAAAGAAGGACCTTTCTTTGGGTCAGCCGGTGTCCCTACTTCTGTCCTTTGTCACTCCAGACCCGGGTCACGGTCATACCATCCTCAAGCCATGTGTTCACAGGCTTAGAGAATTTGGCACTGGAAGGGACCTCCGAGGCCATCTACTGCAATCTCTTTGTTTTACAGATGAATAAACTGAGGCTAAGTGACTTTTGTCAAGGTCACACAGTGAGTAGCAGAGCCACGATTCAAAGGCAGGCCCCTCGACCACACATTCAGTGCCCTTTTCCACTGTCCCTCACTGTTTACAGTTATAATCATCCTAATAATAATAGCCCATCATAGAGGGACAGCAGGGAACAAGGGGGACCTGCGTTCAAGCTTTGCCTCTGACAAGAATTAAATAGATGATAGATAGGTGATGTGACCTTGGGCAAGTAACTTAACCTAACTGTCTCAGTGCTCTAGACTAGTGGTGTTCAATTCCCCTGTGGGTGGCAAATTAACATTGTCTATGTTGTATTGTGGAGGCAGCTAGGTGGCTCGGTGGATAGAGCACTAGGCTGACCTCAGACACTGTGTGACCCTGGGCAAATCACTTAACCCCTATTTGCCTCAGTTCCTCATCTGTAAAAAATGGGGACTCACTGAAGAAGGAAATGGCAAACCACTCCAATGTCTTTGCCATGTCATATAGAGCTGGACACAACTGAACAATAGTAATGTATTTTTTTATATTGTTAAACATTTCCCAGTTATAGTTTAATCAGTTCAGTTTTGTGGGCCTGAGTTTGACACCTCTGCAGAATCTAGACCACTCTCTAAAACCACAAATTTCAGAGAAACTTCCAGTCTGCATTGGTAGAGAGAGTGTCATCATCTGGGGATTCCCTAGATCTGTGAAATCATGGGCTCATGCCCTATTCTAATCGATATATCTATAGATAGATGAATAGATGGATAGATGGATGGAGGGACAAACAGTAGATTAATGATGGATGGATGGATAATATTTTCCCCATTGGCTCAGACTTATGATTTCATTGGCATGGTAAATTCCCATAACAGAGTTGCCTCCATGGGTACAGATTGGTATCTGTTGTATAACTGAGAGTCTGAGAGAGTTATCTGGGGACCTGTGGAGGGTAAGTGATTGGTCTGGGGTAACACAGCCTGCCTGATTTTGAGGGCAGCTCTCTAGCCATAACATCATGATGCCTGTCATATCTACAGATACAAATGTATATGTGTACATTGGTCTATATCATGTAGCACCTTACCTCCATTAGCTCCTAGGAGCCCCTATACTGAACCAGAATCAGATGATGGGAGAATCTGGGATGTTATCTACTACTTGTGTGGCCCTGGGGAAGTCATATTCCTTCTCTGGGCCTCAGTTCTCTTGTCTGTAAAATGAGGACATTGAATCAAGTGATCCTGTCCAGCCCTGAGTCCTAGGAGGCAGCCCTTTGCATCTTACAGAAAAGAAAACTGAGTCTCCATAAGGAGAGGGGTTCTCCCCCAGGGGCACAGTCACTATCCGCCAGTGGAGTGGGTACTACATCCAAAGTCTGTGTCCTCTCAGGCCAGACCTCTGTGTACCACACCAACCTGCCTCCCTTTATCACTTCCATCATTGGCCCCATCCAGACCCATTTATTAGCGGCCTATCTGGCCACAGCACTCTGCCTGGGACTGTCCAGAGTGAGTTAAACAGATACGGTCCTTGCCCTCTGGGGGTTTACGATCTGAGACAGACACACTGTCGCAGACAGATATAAATGACTTCAGACAACTGAACAAACATTGAGCAAAGACACAAATTAAATACTTTTTAAAAAATTAATGACGTATCCATGGGACTGTGCAAGCGGAGGGCCGAGCACATGATCTGAGAAGGATGTGGATGAAGGGAGAGTCATGTTTAGAAAGGGTGGGGTGAAGGGGAAATTGTCTCCCTCCCTACCAATTACCCAGAGAAGACTTCCTAGAAGTGATGTTTCAAGAATAGCTTAAAACTCAAGGGGTTGTGGGGTGTATGATATGGGAGGGGTGTGTGTGTGTGTTTTAATGCCATCGTCAGCATAGCACTTCCATTAAAGTTCATAGAACCAAGGAGAAGGATTGGATGCCATGCCCAGAGTGGTCCGGTTGAGTCTGTTTAGATGCACAGTCCCTTCGTTCTCCTTAAAGCCAGTGACATTGAGGATCAGCTCTGTCTGCCCCATGCTTGTTGAATAGGAGTGCTAGATGCCTCCTGCTGCTCTGAAAGTTTCTGCCTTTAGATAACATAGAACCTCCCTTTCTCTTCCCCCTCAACATGCAGAGTGCCCTGGCTGTGTATCCTAAGTACCACCAGGTCTTTCCATCTGCCCTGCAGCTGTACCTGCTTATACGTGCTGTCACCCGAATTAGAATGGGAGCTGCCTGAGAGCAGGGACCGTCTGCTTCTCTTTGGATTCCCCCGTGTTTAGCATAGTGCTTGCCATATAGTAAACACTTTAATAAATGCTTTTTTTTTTTTTTTTTTTTTTAGTGAGGCAATTGGGGTTAAGTGACTTGCCCAGAGTCACACAGCTAGGCTGTATTTTCATTCATTCAGCCACCTCTTTTCTCTCTCCTCCCCCCCTCTCTATTTCTTTCTCCTCCCCTTCTGTTCTTTCCCTCTCTTCTTCCCTCTTATTTCTTCTATTTGCCTCTCTCCAACATTTTCCCCGTCTACCTGACTATCTCTTCCATCTATGGATGGAACTAACCTAACTGTCTCAGTGCTCTAGACTAGTGGTGTTCAATTCCCCTGTGGGTGGCATATTGACTTAGAAAACCACAAATTAACATTGTCTATGTTGTATTGTGGAGGCAGCTAGGTGGCTCGGTGGATAGAGCACTAGGCTGACCTCAGACACTGTGTGACCCTGGGCAAATCACTTAACCCCTATTTGCCTCAGTTCCTCATCTGTAAAAAATGGGGACTCACTGAAGAAGGAAATGGCAAACCACTCCAATGTCTTTGCCATGTCATATAGAGCTGGACACAACTGAACAATAGTAACGTATTTTTTTTATATTGTTAAACATTTCCCAGTTATAGTTTGATCAGTTCAGTTTTGTGGGCCTGAGTTTGACACCTCTGCAGAATCTAGACCACTCTGTAGTCTCCCGCCATCTTGCCTCTCTAGCTGGTTTCAGTGGCCTTGCATCACTCACACAATCAAACATCCACACTCTCTGCAGGAATGTTGGTGGAACAGAAGAATTCTGGAATCAGGAAGGCATGGGAAGGGGGGGGGGGGTTGTGCAGACATAGGCACCACCCAAAAGCCATAGCTAAGTAAGGGTTGGGGAAAAGCAGTGATAGGGTGGAGCTGAAGGAACATTTCTGAGGTGGGGAGAAAGAATGAGAGTAGGGAATGAGAAAGCTCTGGCTATCCCCCACTGACTGACCCAGGACCCTCTAAACAGGATGGAGAGGAGCTGAGGAGGGAGGGAGAGAGACCTTCATCAGCTGGGCCTCACCCTTCATTTCCTGCAAACAGGCAGCCAAACTACTCAACAACTGGGCATGCCTTGATTACTGTAGGAAGTTCTCTCTCTCTGGGTTCATGGGATTTCCCCTAGAAGTTCTGAACATTTTTGCAGTACTCTCCTTTCTTTCAAATGCTTCCCAATGAAAAAATAAAAAAACATCCCCAACCCAACTGAATCCTTTGAGCCTCCTTCCCTCCATCTACCAGATAGCTTGATAACTAAAGAAACTAGGACCCGGACAGAAGTAATTTGCCCAAAATGCCATTACATAGTAAAATCAAAGGACCATAGATTTTGTTTTTTTGTTTTTGTTTTTGTTTTTTTTTGGGGGGGTGGCAATTGGGTTAAGTGGTTTTCCCAGGGTCACGCTAGTAGGTATCTAAGGCTGGATTTGAACTCAGGTTTTCTTGACTCCACACCTGGTGCTCTATCTTTATGGTGCCACCTAGCTGCTCCAGGACCATAGATTTAGAGTTTAGAAAGGACCTCAGAGCTCATCTCACCCAATGCTGTCAAATGCATATAGGAAGAACTCTGTGGACTGCATATTGACTAAGAAAACCACAAATGAACATTTTCTATGTTGTTTTGTATTTTTATTTCTTTTGTTAAACATTTCCCAGTTACATTTTAATCTGGTTCAGACAGCTCTGGGGAGTTTTGTGAGCCATCTGCTGCCTCCATCTGTAAGTTTGACACCTCTGATAGTCTAACCCCTTCCTTTTACAGAGGGGGAGACTGAGGCCAAGGGAGGCTGTGACTTACCTGGAGTCACTCAGAGGATACAAGATATAAAACAAAACACAAATAAAAGATAATCCTGTCTGGGTTCTCAGGGTTCAGCTGTGGGTAAGAGAGATTAAGCGAGGTTTGACCAGTGAGTGAAGAAAGGTTAATGGCCTGGCTGGAGGGATCGGGAAAAGCTTTTCAAGCCCTGGACTGAGTGAGAATGCTGTTGGGGAAACTGAGACCATGGAGATGGCAAGGAGAGGACAGTTAGAGTCGGGGGAAACACAGGAGTGCTTGAGTTAGCAGCTGCTTATGGGGGATGCTTTGAAGGACATGGTGAAGCCCCCTGCCCTGGGGAATCTCTAGGCCTAACTCTTTGGGTCCAGGAATGTGCCAGGCATGTCTAAAGTAATGTGAGTGAGATCTTAACAAGCATACCGGAGCTCTCTGTTTGAGTGATCATTGTCTCCTTCAAAGTAGTCCCCTGAAGAGGAGAGGTACTTATTCCAGGAATTTGGAACTCATTGTCGAACTGTACAAGAAAATCAATCTTACTTCCTCACATCCCAGAAATATGAACCCCAGGTTTCTGATTGTTCCCAAGAGGCCAGGTAGGTTAGAGAAGAGAGCTGGACAACCTGGATTCTGTTTCTGCTTTTGTCCGTGGCTCATGGTATGACCTTGGGTAGGTCCCTTCCTCTCTCAGGATCTTGGTTTCTCCATCTGTTAAATGGAGATAATCTCTCTACCACCTCGGGAGGGGTGTTCTGAGGATCCATGGGACAGTAGATAGGAAGGCAGCCAGAGGTGTCCCAAAGAGAAGTAAGATAACAGGTATTAGCGATGGCAGCAGCTCATGGCTTCTCATCTCAGGGGTCAGGATTCTGTGCTCCTGAGGCCCAGGCCTGGAGTTTGAGCATTGTCATGGCCCTTTGCTCTCTTCTGTGGCCCTAGATACATGTTCTGGTGCAATCAGAAAAGGTATGGGCACTGAGTCTCTAGAAAGTGTGGATGACTTAGGACGAAACTGTCCCTTCAGATGAGAAAAGCACTCATGGTTCAGGATCGTCTTGTTCAAAATATGACGGGTTACTGCTTCCTGATTTGGGGACAATGTGTGGAGAAAAAAGAGCCCTTTACTAGAAGTCAGGACACCAAGGTTCTGGGCTGGGCTCTGCCACTGTGACTAGGGGAGGCCCAGGGGAGGGGAAGGGACACAAGATGTGGGGTCAGGGGCTCTAAGTCCAGGGCCTGGTTTCTCCTTGTATGACCACCCCAAGCCAGTCACTTAGCCACTCTCCGACTCAGTTGCTTCATCAGGATAATGAAGGGGTTGGACAAGAGGGTTTCTAAAGCCCTTCCATCTCTAAATCTATAAGCCTAAGCTGTCTTGCCTCTCTCTGCCTCAGTGTCCTCTGTAAAGCTGGGAGAAGAATATTGCACTGCTACCTACCTCACAGGATTGTTGGTTAGAAAGCACTGTGGGAACATAGGCTGCTTTTTTTTTTTAATGAAAAGCATTAGATTAGATAGCTCTGTCATTCTGTGTTCTAAGCTCCCTTCCAGTTCTGACATTTTTTATTCTAAACTCCCTCCCAGCTCTTGACATTCTCTCTTCTAAGGGCCCTCCCAGCTCTGACGTTATGTGTTCTAAGCTCTCTTTCAGTTTTTAACAGCTTAGGGTTCTAGAATTCCACCTGGTTTCCTGATCAAGGAATGGGGCCTCATCTTCAGGCCCTGAAACACTGAGACTCCTTGGGTAGGATAGGAACATTTGGGTGAACATGACTGTCCCCTGCTTCCCCTCCCCGCCCATCCTAAGGGGTTTTGGGTTTTTTTTTTTTCTCCTTCCCCATTCCACTAATAGTGCCAGGAAGCTGAAAGGAGGTAGAGGATAAGGAAGTGATAGGCTGGGTCCTTATTGTCCTCCTCCCCATCCCTACCCCCCAGTCAAGAGTCAGGAGGACCTTCAGGGCCCCAAGGTTCTGGAGCAGGGAAGGGAAAGGCTCCCCCTTCCCCAGCAGACTGGTGTCTTGGAAGGCCAAGGGAACAGGCAGGCTCATGGTCACCCCCATTGAAAAGCTTCCCGGGGCTGAGGAATTGAGGGCTTGGTCAAGGCCGCCATCTCCAGGCAGCCTGGCGAATCACCGGCTCGTGGAGAACAAAGTCCCATGACAGAGAAGCCAGATCCTCCCGTCTCTGAGAGGTGGAGCTTCGTCACCTGGATTGCAGTTTCCTCCCTGATCCCCAGAATTGGCCCAGGAGGCCTTGACGCATTCCCCAGATCCTTTCTGCTCCACTGTGCCCAGAGCAGAGTAGCAGAGATTCTCGGAGCTGGAGGTGGGGGAGAGGAGACAGGAAGGATTCCAGCCAGGCCATTGGGACCTTGTTGGAGCAAGCAGCTTTCTCCCCTCCTTGCCCCCCAGGCCCAGCTGTTTCATAGGCCAGCAAATGTTTCAGGCTGGGCTAGGAGTCTTCCAGGGTGTACGGCCAAGCTTGAGACAGCCCAGCCCAGCCTGCCTAGCAGGCCCGAAATTCAAGACTCAGGCCTTGCTGGGGAAGGAGAAAGAGCTTCCCCCTCCCCTCTATGCCCCTGCTGATGTCGATTCTTTTTATTTCCCCACCAGACGAGGCCATTTGGTGCAAGACAACCAAGCCTGTGCCCGAAGCTGGACTGATGAACACGTTCCTCATGGCGGAGCCCCGGGGCATCACCAGCAACCCAGTGAAGACAGAACCTGGGGATCCTGAATACCCAGCCACTGTGCACTCAGACATCCAGCTCCTGCCTCAGCAAGCAGGGATGGCAGCCATCCTGGCCACCGCCGTCGTCAATAGTGAGTACCCAGCGGATGCCACCGCCAGGCCACTACCTGGTGAAGCCTGGCTCAGTCTCTCTTCCCTGCAGCTGAACCCTGAGAATCCAGACGGGATCCAATTAGCTTCAGAAAGGAACTTTGTTGCTGTTCAGTCACTTCAGTCGTGACCCCATTTGGGGTTTTCTTGGCAAAGATGCTGGAGTGGTTTGCCGTTTCTCTCTCCAGCACATTTTACAGATGAGGAAACTGAGGCAAGCAGGGTTAAGTGACTTGCTCATGATCAACCAGCTAGTAAGTGTCTGAGGTCGGATTTGAACTCAGGTCCTCCTGACTTCAGGGCCGGTGCTCTATCCACTGCCTCACCTAGCTGCCCCGTGACCTCCCTCATCTAACAGATGAGGAAACTGAGTCCAGTGGAAGTAGTTAAAAACCTGCTCCTCACTTCTCCCAAGTTCAGTGCTCTTTCCATTAGACCACACTGCCTCGTGTACCTGGTAACATGTGGCTGCCCGGGATAAGGAAGAGCAGAAGATTAGGAATCCAGATAGATAAACCATACATTCAGCAGACCAAGCAGATACCAGAAGTCAGAAGAGACAGAAGGGTCTAATCTACCCAGACTGTCAGCTCAGGTCAACAGGGGAGCTTAGAGACCTCTTGGGTCTGATCCCTGTATTTTGCATATATAATTATTAAGCCAGAGAGAAGACAAATTAGTTTCTCATTAGTGATAGAATTGGAATTAGCACTCACGGTCATTCAGTGCTTTTCTTACTGGCCCATAATGCCCCGGGAACCCAGCAATTAGAGTATCGGGACCTGACCTCTTCCCTCCCTGATCCCATCACGCTGTCTTCTCAGTGGGTCTTAGGTGTGGCCCCTGAACCCCAGGTGCAGGGGGTGGGACGGTCAGTGGCTGTATCTAGCTTCTGTAGATCAGGGGACAAAGGAATGAGGATAGAGTCTGACAACAGGCCTCAGACTGATTTTAGACCAAATATCAGTCCCGGGATGAGGGTGGAGAACAGGGGGTCTGAACAGATAAAACCCATAGAGAGGGGCTCATGAATCTCATCTCCCAGCAGAATCTCCCCTCTCCTTCCCTCCCCTCAAAGCCTCTTTCCACTCTCAAGTAACCGGGGAGCCAGGAGGTAGGTGGCACAGGTAGAGAAGGCCATTTTTAGAGAATATAATTAGCCATGGCAGTAGAAGCAGTACTGTTGGGGGCTGGAAGGCTTTGCAGGAGCTTCTCCAGCCTGACTTAGAATGAGGCAACATGCTATTTGATTGAATCTTGGGTCTAACACTTAGTAGCTGTGTGAGCTTAGGTGTGCGACTCAGCCGCTCTGTGCCTCAGTTTCCTTATCTGTAAAATGAGCAAAGTCACATCTGCATACAGGCTGGTTGTGACAAAAGCCTCCTTAAAACATGATAAAAACGTAAGTTACTGTTATCTTATTTTGTCAGGTGAATGCCCAAAGCTGGAAGGGAGTTAACTTATTTAGAGGTTTTCTGGTCTGATGATGATGATGATGTTATTATTATTATTAACAAATAAAGAAACTAAATAACAGAGAAGGGAAGTGGCTTGCCTGAGGTCACATAGGCAGGACTCTGCTACTTGGAGGGGGTAACGTGGTACAGCAGATAGGACGCTGGGTTTGGAGTCAGGAAGACCTGGGATCAAATGCCAGGTTTGATCAGACTCTAACTAGAGTTGTGTGACCCTTGGCTAGGCACTTAACCCCTCTCTGGGCCTTAGTTTTCTCATCTGTAAAACGTGGGGTGGAGGAAGAGAAGAGGGAGATTCAGTTTCTAGACCCCTTCCTGCTTCTGATTCAACGCTCTTTCCTCTCTTCGTCTTAGGAATTATTTATCTCGCATCTGGCCCTGGCATTAGACACTTAAAGAGAGAAAAAAAAAATTGAGTAGTATGGAGATGTCCTGAAATACGTATTAGATTTAGTCAGAGTTTAAATCTCAGCTCTGTTCCCTGTGTGGCTGTAGGCAAATCACTGGAGCTCTTAGCCTAGGTGACCTCTGAGGGTCTGATCCTGCGACTTCCGGCCTACCAGCCCAGATTCCTGGATCCTTTCCCCATGTTTGCAGTGGTCTAGGTATGGGAAGTTGGCAGATCAGTCACCTTGATAAATCCCACATTCCCAGGCTACCCTGGGCATGGAGGTTCACCAGAGGATCCAAGAGACACCGCCGAGGCCCTTTTGTTCAGCCTGTCCCTGACTGAGAATAACTTCTACGGCAAGCCCAGCAAGAGGTCCTGGGTCCATTTTTACAGCATGCCCGCCAAAACAGCAATATTGCAGATGCTAAAAAACCCAGACTGTGTGGAAGATCTTGGGGGATGCCCAGATCAACTATGGCGGCTGTTTGCTAAGACTGCACCCCTCCTGTCAAAGGAGAGAGGCTAAAGTATGGCAAGGCTGAGAGGAAATTGAGAGAAACAGCTTCATGGGAAAGAAATTTAAACTCAAGGGATAACCAGCGAGAGAGGGGGAGGGGGGGGAGAGAGAGAGAGAGAGAGAGAGAGAGA